ACCAATATCTTTGAATTTGTTATGAAATATTTTTTAAGTAGTAACTAGTAGGGATCATATATGCCCTATAGTTAAATGTTCTTCCAAGTTCATTTGTAATTGTGAGTTATGATAAAATTTTGGTTTTGTATGACAATATGAGTATGTAAATGAACTTCTGTAATAATGTTAGGTTCGACTTTGTTTGAATTCTCACTCAAACACATCGTGATTCACTCTAGAAAGAATGATTTTGGTCAACATTATATTTGCAATATCAGAACTTCTAAAGATTCATGTAAAGTTTTACATTCTTGAGTGAAATATTATTTTGGTATGAATTATTTGATTTCATTCAAACTCTCTGTAAATCAATTTTGATATCTGCATACGACTTCCTCATTCAGGTTAATGGTTCTGTTATAAAAAATCGAAAAGATGTAAAATTTGTATCACTCTAATTTAGACTATATGAAAAGGGAAATAATTAATTTTGAGTATTTTCTAGAAATCATATTGATTTTATAGTGGGAATGGAAGTGAATAATTGTAGACTTTTTCAGTGGATTACCTTTGACTATGTCCAAGTAAGATTCAATATGTATTTTATCAATCATCTTAAAAAGATTGTTTATTTTATTCTGGTTCAAACTAATTATATTCTTAATAACTAACTTGATTGTTTACTTATAAGATTATTTGTCTTATGAGGTTCTCTTATCCATAATTTTTGACTGAGATCTGAGATTTATGTTACGATTTTAATTGAATCTTCTTGAGGCTTTGTATACGCGATTAAAACTTTAGTGTAACTTATTATCTGTAGTTTGATGGTCTATTGGAGCGAGTTATTCAGATTCTAAAAGATAGGTTAAAAGGTAGTGTTCTAGGGTTCTGAGATAGATGGGTGGATTATTTAATGTTGGCTAAGTGTGCATATAATAATAATAATTACTACACCAATATTTGGATAACACTATATGAGGCCTCATATGGTCATAGATGTTGTATTCTACTATGTTAACTGATTTATATGAGATGAGGATTGTGGGGTTTGACCTTTTACAAAATTTGTTTGACAAAGATATTTTACCGATCGGAAGAGAAGTGATATTGAGTTTTGTGTGGGTGATCAATTCTTTCATAGGATAACTTCTTTGAAGAGCGTACTCAGACTTGACCAAAAAATGACGATTGAGTAAAAATATTATTGGACCTTACTAGAATCTGCATTCTATAGGACCATTTGTATATCAACTTGAGTTACCACATGAGCTTGAGCATATTCATGATGTATTTCATGTCTCTATGTTAAGGCATTACCACTCAAATCCATCACATATCATTTCTGTTGATGATGTTAAACTGAAACTTGTTTTGAGTTATAAGGAGGAGCCTATTCTGATTCTTGCCTATGGGATCAAGTTCTAAGAAATTGACGTATATTGATGGTTAAGGTTCTGTGGAGTAACCGTAGCCTTACGAAGGCCACCTGGGGACTCTATAGTTTATGGAGAAGATATTTCCCCATTTTTTCTTTTTTTTTTCTTTTTCATCAGGTAAAATTTCAAGGTTGAAATTTTCTTAACATATGAGAGTTGTCACAATCCAAAAATAAAGATGAAATTTATAGTTTTTAAAATTTCTTGAGTTTTTTACGAACATGTGAAAACTCAAGGATTATTACGTTATTCAGAACTTGAGTTGCCACCAGGGGACTCTATTATTCATCCAGTGTTCTTAGATTGTCGTTTGTAACTGGTGAAGGTTCGAATATTCTAGTTTCATTAAAAATATCATATTTATTGATATTTTCGGAAAATCAACTTTTTCAAGTGACTCATTGTGCCTTAAAATATTTTTAGGAAAGTTTTGATAATTTTTCAACCACCAAATGAGGCCTCATGTGCACCACACGCCTCAGTGCACGAGTGGGCTTTGTTCTGCCAGTTTAGACACTGAATTGACCTGACCCTGAATCGATCCTGAAACAGTCCTAAACCAGTCTAACTAAACCACTGACCGAACCGAGTTGTTGACTGTTGACTTTGTATGTTAACTTTGACTTTGACTTTAACCTGTTGACTTTTTTCGAAGACCTATGTCTTTATGTTTTTTGATGTCTTGAGTCTATTTTCGCAATCTGTTTTGTCAAATTCTGACCCAAAAGCCCTGTTTTACATCATTTATCACTTAAAGTCTTAATTGTGTTAAGTAAAATGTGAGATTTTGGACTCACTTTTTGGTGTTATTTTCTATTTAGTGACTTTATAGTTTATTTCAGTTTAGATGTGGCATTCATATTAATAGAGTAGTCTTAATTTTAGGTCCCTATTTTGTATGACATAGCACAACCGATCGTGGGAAGCATAAGGCTTAGTCGGTGTTGATTAGCTACTATAGGTGTGTCCCCTTGTTTGATACATTTGATGTGTTATGGTATTATGCCATATGCTACTATCTTAAAGCATGTTCATAATCTGATTGTATTTATCTATGACATGTCTAACTACTTAATAATGATGCATCACTTATAATTTGAATATTGATGCATTTTTTTATTCTGCATGGGATTATATCCCCGCCCTGATTTTGTATGGGATTATATCCTCGTCCTAGTTCTGTGTGGGATTATATCCCCGTCTTGATTTTGTATGAGATGATATCCCCGTCCTGACTCTGCATGTGATTATATCTCCATTTTGTTTCTTTTTGGGATCCTCTTCAGAGGGTTATATCCCTGTTTTGATTTCTATTTCTGATTGGGATCCTCTTCGGAGAGAACGTCCTCATACTATTATACGCGGCGAAAGGTAAAGTTGTATGAATTTTCTGTTATAACCTTTCGATAATGGTCAATTGATTTATTATTATCTAAAATCAAATTGCATCTTTATAATATATTTATTTATTTATGGTATGCCACCTATACTTGTTTTACTTTAGAGGACACACTGAGCTTTGTAGCTCACTCGGTTTTATCTTTCCTTTTTCATATTATCCAGTTATAGGCCCAATTTGGCTATCGGAGGTGTGATATCGATTATATAATGTATGCGGTTTAATATTTATTTTAACCTCTTTAAATGTGGCATGAGTTATTTCTTATAGCGTATTTGGTAAATGTTTTTAAATGATTTATTAAACATATTTCGTTCATGAATCATTTATGTGATTAACGTGGTATAGGGGTGTTTAAACAGTTAATTCGGTTAATCGACTGAACTAAATTAACCAAAGTTAATTAACCGATTTCCCCCTTTAACCGTTAACTAAACATTTTTTTTTAAAATTAACCGAACCGAACTAAGATCGGTTAATTGGTCGGTTAACCGAATCAACCAAAATTTATAAATAATATATATTAAATATTTAATATTTTTGGTTTATTTGGTTAATTCGATTAAAACTGAAGTTTAAACACACCTAAAGCTAAATAATATATATAATATATTAAATATTTAATAATTTCGTTTAATTTGGTTAATTAACTGATTTCGAACCGAATTAATCGAAACCGAAATTTAAAAAAACCATTAACCTATAACCGACCAAACCTAAAATTAACCGACCGAAATTTCGATTCGGTCAGTTAATTTGGTTTTAACCAAACAATGAACACTCTTAACGTGATTACTCTGATTTAGTTATAACTCCTATGTTGGTTCATGGGTTTACATTATAAACATATCAGATAGTGTGGGCATTGGATAATTTTGTTTACTATAATAATTCATGTCTAGTCTCAACAAGAATGTAAAACATTGTTCCTACAAGAATGATAATTGAGAAACAATGAGCTTAACACGGCATTTGTTGTAGTGTGAACCTCATATGAGTGGCGCACATAACTACAAAAAAGAAAAGCCAGTGAGTGCCTTTTCCGCCGATTATGACTTCATTTCTTAATGAAAATGTGCCTTTCCGTGACGTACAATTTTGACAAACAACAACAAAGATAAATTTTATACTTTCTAAACTCTTAATATTTCCATACTCTTTAGTTTGTGCATTTAAATTTAAAAATATATCTAAATGGGTGCCTGCGCCTGCAGAATTTCAAACTCAAAAACAGGTAAAGCTGTAGCAAGAGGATCAAGAAGAGCCCAAGGTCACCGAAAGCTGCCAAGGTGGTTCACATCGATGGTTGTCTACAAGATTTCAGATAACCAGCCCAAGCCAAGAACCCTATTTCCCAGAATCCGAATTGTTTCCTTTGCTGCTGGACTTTTCTCCTTCCATTACTTAATTGAAAGAAGAGCTTAGCAAATTGCAACTTAAATTCACTTCTTTCCGATGCTACTATAAATTGTGATGTTAGAATCTAGATACTTTTTTTCTTTTTCATTATCGACTTGTTTGTTTTTTATGGACTGAGGTTTTCAGGATGCTAATTTGATCGTTCCAATGCACATTTATTAACAAATTGAAAAACAAACGAATTCAAATGAAATGAGGAGCGAGTTAAATAACATTGTGCCGGACTTGTGTGCTCTTCCCATAAAAGCTACTAGCCCTGGTCTAGGCAAAGACGGTGTTGACCTTTACTCAACTAGTTCATGATGGTATTGGATATACATTGAAAGAGCGTTGTTTTGGAAAGTGGCAAGGGTGAGACCAAATTGACAAGGTAGCCAGGAAGGTCTATGTTAGTATTCTTTCTCGCCCCATGTTTTGGTTACTGCCCAATTTGTGTTCTAACGTGTTCGTTATTCTTTTATCATATGCTTTGATGGGCCGATTGAAGACCATGGTAGATTTAGCCATCGGGTCATGTAATAGCTGGGCTCAAACGCTACTTGCTTGAGCCCTCTGGTTCTGTCATGTGGCTACATACCAAGTTTTCAAGTAAATAAAAGATCTAAACGCAATCCAAATTTTCAAAAATATTTAAAAACATTTTAAAAAGCAATATCAAGCTCTATGGATACACTTACAGATGGAAGTCAACAAGGTCACATGCAAAGTTCAATGCTCCGACGATAACCAGACAATTTCATTACTCGGAAAGCTTAAATATTCATTAAAATCCCATAATTCCACCCCGCTGCCACATTGCTCCACTTTCAAGGCAACCGCTTTGCCTGCAGAACGGACCCATCCTTGGAAGTCTATAAATTCTTTCTATTAACAGAACTCGCAAGCATAAATCTAGACAGGAGACAATGGCCAACGCCTTGCTTGCACTTCTTCTGGTTCTGGCTATTTGCCACAACACAGCCCAGGAGGCAGCAGCAGCAGCAGCAGCAGCAGCGCTGCCTAGTGCAGCCAGAGAATTCCTCGAAGCCCACAACCAAGCAAGAGCCGCAGTTGGAGTCGGACCTCTCAAGTGGAGTGAGCAACTGGCCAATGCCTCGAGCCTTCTCACAAGATACCAAAGGAACAAAATGGGTTGTCAGTTTGCCAACCTCACAGATCACAAGTTCGGAGCAAACCAGATATGGGGTAGTGGAGGACCGGTGACGCCGCGCGTGGCGGTGGATACATGGGTGAAAGAGAAGGATTACTATGACTATGCCACCAATTCTTGTGCACCAAATCACAAATGTGGGGTTTACACGCAAGTGGTTTGGAAGAACTCATCTGACCTTGGCTGCGCACAAGCTACATGCAAGGACCAAACTTCTTTAACCATTTGCTTCTATAATCCTCCTGGAAATTATGTAGGAGAGAAGCCATACTAGAAAAATCAGCTCTATATATAGCTTGTTGCAGGATCTGATCTGAAAGTTTGTGTAATTTCTTGATTCTGGATGCATGTAGGGGAACAATGTTGTATCATCCAAAATCCATACTTTGGATCTAAATAAAACCAGTTCTGGAAATGTTTTCCTGTACACATTTTTTTTGACGTCTTTATTAAGCATGATGTTGAACTTGAATCACAGGACAAGCAAAATATTATCTAATAATTTAGGTTCTGAGCAACTGAAAAGGAGCAGGTCCTTAAGCTAAAACTGATGCAGATCCACCGACAAAACAGGAGCACGGGTGTCCTCAGCAAGACTTGGATGGCACGTTGTAGCTAGTACAAATGACAGATGGTGTGAGATTTGAGCCCCACCTTGTGGATTTCACCAACATGGCAAGATATTTTTAAGTCAAATTATGATATGGGGTCACGTGCTGATGATAGAAACCAACTAAATTTAAGTCGAGAACAAGAGTTTTTGGAGCCTGGTGTTCAAGTTGAGTGATGGCTTCACTAATAGAAGTATACCAGCACAAAGTTATATACAAATCTCAATGCACATTACATAAATCACTGGTTCTTCCTCTCGCATGAGAAAAACGGACAATAACAATTACATTACAAAATGATGCTACATGGTTATATCCTACGTTTTCCCTTTTCATTTCAACTTTGTACAAGGGAAACTCCGAAATCTTCCGAAATGGAAATACTTGCAAACTGCATCATGCCGAAACACCAGTATACGGGCAAATCATCTTAGTAGTTCTTTGGATGATAGATACCTAAAGGTAAAATTGTGAGGAATCCATGCTATGCTCTTGCGTGGTTTTCCTAGTTGACAATTTTTGAAGATCCTACGAAATGATTCGGGTAAAGATTGCTGGATCATTTCGGTGACACCGGCCGGACACAACCTAGAATCCTTTGCAAACGACTACAATCTTAGGTAACAGAATTTTCTGGTCTTTTCGGACACCAAATGTGGCACGGATGTACTCTTCTTTTGCAGTTTCCAGCTCTTGAAATACTCTCTTTGGTGTGTAGGCACGGATCTAAAGAAAAGGTTAAATATAATTACAAGGCTGATAATGTTCATATAAAAAGAAGACACCATGGGAAACCAAAATTAACATCTTTCAAATGGTTCGTAGAAATCTTCTCATATGTAATATAATAGTAAGGAAAATAACATTGATGGAAGAAGAAATAGTACCGCAGGATCAGAATGGTTTCCCGAGCTAAGGGCAAAGTGTCAAAGAGGTTCCGGATGTTCAATTGCATATGCCTGCCTTTCATCTGCAGTTTTAAACTTTGTCCTTGAAGAGAGTAATAGCCGAATCCACTGCAAGCAGGAAAGCTTCATCAGCACCATCTTAAAACACGAGTTAAATCAAGCTCAATAGGCATTTCAATCTAGAGTCCAGTTTCTACAAGATCTTACCTGTCCAGGACGAGATATACGACATCCAAGGATAGTATTCTGTATCGTATCTGCACCGATGGTGTGACCCCCGATGTTATATACAGCCTGAATGGTAGAAGAGTATAAGATAACATGTACCAATCTAGTTTCATAGTTCAAGAGATGCAACAATGAGACAAGTTATTCTTACCCTCAACAGTAGAAAGAGTCTCTTCACATTGTTTTGTGGGACACCATAAGCCAGAAAAGCCTATTATGGAGGAAAAGAAAAGAAAAGACTGAATACAATCCATTCCATTAAAATTGGAATCAACACTACAATATCAGATTCTTTTCGTCAATGAGAACACCTACATGCATCACTAACGCATTGTGTATGTTTATCCAGAAAGCCAGCTTCTCTTCATGTTTCAATTTCCTAGGATCAATTTCTTCAAGTTGACAGATAAGTGACCTATAACAAAGCAATTGAATGAACGCATGAAAAACTGTGAGAGAGTTTTTTTCTTGTGACATTTTCATGCCAGAAAGACACACCTGAAGTTTTGTAGCAAATGTTCAACATCACTTAGTTTCTGACTATCTCTGAAAATCCATGGAACTTCAACCATAGTGCTATATGGTCCACTAAACTCCTTAAGTCCTTCCACATGGAAAGGGTTATCTAACTGTACATCAAAATCCGTTTTGGATCGGTGGTTCTGCAAGCTTGCAATATATATAGCAGCGATGCACTTGATCATATCCTCAGAAAGCTTGTTTGGGGTCTCTGGAACATGGTCAGAAATGCGAGTGCCAAGATGTTCAGCCAGACTGATTACATTCGATGTGTTCTGAGCATACTGTAGAGAACCAAGAAAAAGTTACAACCACAAGAAAAGATTGTCAAATTGTAATACCTATTGTAATACCTATATGAGAGATTGCTCTCCCATAAACTGAACAGTTGTTCTGAAATTTTATAAATGACTAATGGTTTATTGTGATACACTATAACCCGTAACTAACCAAAAATGCAAACTAAATCTAATAGAAATGTTCTGAGAATATTACATTCTAAAAGTAAGTTACCTCCATCAAGGACAAAGGTTGTGAATGACAGGTCCGTATGGCTTTACCCAAGTTCTCTTCCGGAGGTACAGCTCTACTTGAATATACTGAATGTTGACATCGTGAGGAATGACATCGGTGAACACCAGAATCTAATAGTTTTTCTTCTCCAAAGCCACAAGGCGCCTTGCATGAATTGTCAAGATAACCAGACTGTAGAGCTGAATTTTCAACTTTTGACGCATCATCAGGTTTGGAAACTTCCGGAAATCTCCCTCTTAGTGAATCTGTTGGTGTTTTTGTTAAAAGTCAAAGATGGGGGCAGCGTTGGGGCGTTAAAATTCAACAAAAGGCACCGAATTCGATGTCCCAATTTTTTATTAAAAATGTAATAGAATTAATTATATTTTAGTCACTGTACACTTTAAGATATTTATAAGATTAATCTCTAAGCTTTAATTATAAATATCCTTACTCATTTAGCTTCAAAATCATCACAAATCATTTCTTTCTTCTACTACTAAAGAATTTAGAGAGCTTTCTTGTGAATTGTGAGTGTTTTGTAAACACCTGTAAATTTTCCCTCTTTAGTAAAAGATCTACAGCAGTCCGAATACGTAGGTAAAATTGGTTGAACTCCGTTATCAATTTCGGGTATTATTTTTCCGCTTTTATTTCGCATTCTCATTTATCTGGTTATAGGAAAATTATTCGTTCTCGATTAATTCCCAACAACTGACATCAGAGCTTTTGGTAGTAAATTTTATCAATTTTTTTATGGTTTACTATTCATGTAAATAGTGAAATTCGGTCGGCGATACGAGTTTGTCGACGGAGGTGTTCTAATACACGGCGGTTCGCAAAAATTGTCAGAAACGATCCAAAGAAGCCAGATTCGAGTGGGAGCAATGGTTGCAGACGAAGGGAAGGTAAAAATTGAGAAGTTCAATGGTACGAATTTTGGCTTTTGGAAGATGCAGATTAAAGATTTTTTGTACCAGAAAAATCTATATCAACCTCTTTCATGAAAGCAATCAGAGGGCATGAAGAATGAAGAATGAGCTCTTCTCGACAGACAAGCCCTCGGAGTTATCCGACTGACATTGTCCCGAAATGTTGCTTTCAACATAATAAAGGAAAAGACCATGGCGAGTCTTATGTCGACTCTCTCTAGTATGTATGAGAAGGCAACAGCTTCAAACAAAGTTTACTTGATGAGGCGATTATTCAATTTGCGGATGGCGGAAGGGGCATTAGTGGCTCAACACCTAAATGAACTCAACACAATCACAACTCAGTTGAGTTCCGTGGAAATTGAATTCGATGATGAAGTTCGAGCTTTAATTCTCTTATCATCTCTACCAGACAGTTGGAATGCTACTGTTACAGTAGTCAACAACTCGTCGGGAAACAGCAAATTAAAATTCGACGATGTTTGAGATCTGGTATTAAGTGAAGAAATTCGACAAAGAGAATAGGGTTAAGCATCAAGCTCTTCAGCCTTACACACAGAGTCTACAGGGAGAACTTCAAAAAGAAATTCAAATCGTGACAGATCGAAATTCAGAACCGGAAAATCAAGAACGGGAAAGAAATATTTTACCTGTTATAATTGTGGCAAGAATTGTCACTTTAAAAAAGATTACCGAGCACTGAAGAAAGATATCAACGCATAGGAATTTGCCAACATGACAAAGGAAACATGTGATGTCATGATTCTAAATGTCAACAGTCCGATTGAATCATGCATCTTGGATTTAAGGGCATCTTTCGACTCCACCCCATGCCAAGAAATCATGGAGAACTATGTTAGTGGTGATTTTGGGAAGGTTCATCTAACTAATGATGAAACCTTGAAGATCGTTGGAAAATGAGACATCCGATTAAAGTTGCCAAACCAGACCATCTGAAAGCTAAAAAGAGTAAGACATATTCCTAGCCTCAAAAGAAATTTGATTTCTTTAGGACAACTTGATGGAGAAGGATATAGTACAACCTTTTCAGACTGTGAATGGAAGATTACCAAAGGAACACTCGTCATTGCTCGTGGTAAGAAGATTGATACTCTCTATGTAACTTTAAATTTAGAGAATATCATTATAGTAGCAGATGCTGATGGAAAATCAAACTTATGGCACCAAAGGCTTGGTCATATGAGCGAGAAAGAGATGAAGACACTTTTGTTAAAAAGAAAACTGTCGGATCTAAAGAGTGTATTACATATTTGGCAAACAAAAAAAAGTCAGTTTTGCAAAGATTGACAAGATACCCAAGGGTGAAAAGTTAGAGTTGGTTCATACTGATGTATGGGGACCATCTCCAGTTCCATCTCTTGCGGGCTCACTCTATTATATCACCTTCATCGATGATTCTATAAGAAAGGTGTAGGTTTATTTTCTTAAGAAGAAATCAGAAGTCTTTAATACCTTCAGAAAATGGAAGGCTATTGTGGAAAATGAGACTGCTTTGAAAGTCAAGCGGTTGAGGTCTGATAATGGAGGAGAGTACAGAAACAGTAGATTCAGAGATTTTTACGCAAGCAACGGGATCAAGATGGAGACAACAGTTCCCATGACACCGCAACAGAATGGCGTAGCATAGTGCATGAACATAACTCTAAATAAACGTGCCAGAAGCATGAGGATACATGCCGGATTGCCCAAATTACT